CGTGACAGGGGCTGCGGGGGTGGGTACATTTTGGTGCAGAAAGAGCCCACATCGGCAACTATTTCCTTGGGGTTGGTGCCCCTGTCACCTCGAGTGCCCATCACCTCCTGCAGTTGGGGGGTCAGTTTATGCACTCTCCCTTCTCATTTGTGGAATAAGTGCGTGCGTGCTGACTCGGGCCAAAGCCTAGAAATACAGGCAGCGGTGGGCCTCCCTCAGGCTGGCCTTTCCCGGGCAGGGAAGTTCCTTCTCTAGCTGGACTTGTCTCTTGGTCTCAGCAGCACCGGATGGGCCACGAAATGGCCAAGCCCTAGACGCCTCTGCCGGATAAACGCTCTAGCCCAAAGGCCCAGAGGCCACATGCCCAGTCTCTTGTTAGATCCCAAGGGCAGCCAATGAGGGCAGGTGCTTCCACACGTTTCCCAGGAAGTCCCAACTCAATCTGTCTGCTCACCGAAAGTAAAATGGAAAAGCCTGAATTCAAAGCGTTTAGAAACCCTGGAAAATAATGACTGTATGTGCTGGAGGTACCTGGGTACCTAAGGGTAGCAGTGCCATCTTAAGACCAAACCCCACCAGCTTAGTTTTGCATTCTCTACATCTGCCCTATTATCTCTTAGTATGCTTCTTTTGGTTGATTTCTTTCTTTATAGTTTCATTTATATTACCATAAAAAGGTCTGATGTGCTACTTATATGTTCTAACATATATGAACATAACTATTAAAATAGAAAGTGTTGGGGCATGACTGGCTCAGTGGGTAGAGCATAGGACACCCGATCTCAGGGTGATGAGTTTGAGCCCTATGCTAGGGGTAGAGTTTGCTTAAGAAATAATAATAAAATAAAAAATGTTCACCCTCAAGATCATCTGAAGTTCACCCTCTCTCCCTCCTCCCCCCGCGCGTGCACACACTCTCACACACACACACACACACACACACTTGATGTGGCCACACTTGGGAAAACACTGCAGGTTTTCCAAGTCAGAGAGCCCTGGGGTTCAAGCCCTGACATTGGCTGGGTGACCTGAACCTCCCCCTGCCACCCTTCCTGGAACTTCCCAGCCTCTGGACTGAGAATTATAACCACATACAGCTTGGCAAGATACCCATTCTCAGGAAATGAAGTTCCTTCTCTTCATGAGACAGCAGGACTGTAGACAGAGCATTTGTGGTGTGTGGGTAAGGGAGACCTAGGAGAGGCAGGTCTTGGGTACCCCATCCTGGAGACTCTGGGAAGGAGAGTTCAGCTCGGTTACCATGCCGACCATTTCCAGTGGGAGAGAATAGAGTCCCGTCTTCATCTGCCCACTTGTGGACAGGTGCCCAGCCTCCCCACCCCACCTGATGCCCAGGGTTTCCATGCTTTTGCCCCATCACCACAGGGCAAAGGGCTGTCTTCAAAGAGCACAGAATAAGAGAAGAGGACTGAGAGAGGGAGGGGAGGCTTTCCATACTCAGGTGCACCCATGTGGGAGGCTGAAGCTCTGCTCCTGGTCCTGCTTTAAGTCCAGCTCACTGGAGCTTATACCTACAGGCACACAATTGTGAGCCACGCCACAGGTGCCCCAAGGAATCCCAGGGTTCATGAGAAAAGGACTGGACTGAAGAAGAGCTGGACAATGGGGGTAAAGGACTCCTCTGTTTCATCAGGTAAATCACTTCCCCTCTCTGGGGCCCCCTTCTCCACCCAGTAAATGGAACAATGAATCACTCACTCAGCAAATACGGAGCAGAAACCATGTGCTGGACGCGGCAGGGAGTAAGACAGAAAAGGTCTCTGCTCTCAGGAATTTACATTCTGGATGGGAGACAGACAATAAACAAACAAGGGAAAAGAAAATTTCCTAAATGCTGTAATGAAAATAAAGCAAGGCAGTAAGATAGAAAATTGGAGTAAATGAGAGCCAAGTGCCTTTCCAGGCTGCTGTTCTCCTTTCTAGGGTCCTTTGCTGGAGCTTTTTACCTAAAAAAGATTGAAGGCCCCTTATCTCGAGAAGGCCTTTGACTGAATCTCACTCCCGGGCTTCTATTGCTATCCTAAATTAGAAAAAAGGTTCCCAAAATCCTTGTCCTAGGTTTTAGTCCCTGAAATTCTTAAGTATTGGGCGCCTGGGTGGCTCAGTGGGTTAAAGCCTCTGCCTTCGGCTTGGGTCATGATCCCAGGATCCTGGGATCGAGTCCTGCATCGGGCTCCCTGCTCCGGAGCCTGTTTCCTTCTCCCTCTCTCTGCCTTATTGGGATCTCTCTGTCAAATAAATAAAATCTTAAAAAAAAAAAAAAAGAAAAAGAAATTCTGAAGTATTTAGAGGGAAGTGTATTAAGGACTGCAGCTTAGTTTGAAGTGTATCAAATATAAGGTGGATAAGTAAGATGGATAGAAGGATGGAGATATGTGTGATAGTAAAATGCTAATGGCAGAATCCAGGCGGTGGGTATACAGGTGTTCACTGTACAATTCTTTCAAGTTAGCTGTATGTCTGAAAGTTTTCGTGATACAATGCTGGGGGAGGGGGATCAGGGTTTAATTTTGCAAAAAAGCATACCAAATTGCCTTTAATTTTCAGACAACTCTCCCATTGGACCACTCTGGTGCTTCTCCACCTGCATAAACACTTTTTATGAAGTTGGAATCACTTTATTTGTATGTCATCATTGTTTTTTCTCACGTATTTCTAAAGCTTCCTATGTCCAGTGCTTAATGTTTGCACATTCCAGGAGCATATATAGGACATGTGACTTTGGGGGTACAGACTTTTTATTGTGTACATTCTCAAAGCAGTGCTCAGGGCCCCCTTTCCAGAGAGGGCACATTGGGTTGTATCGTCCCAACCCTTTTTCACTGAGAACAGCTAGAAAAACTGGAGATAACATTTTTTTTTAAAGATTTTATTTATTTATTTGATAGAGATCACAAGTAGGTAGAGAGGCAGGCAGAGAGAGGAGGAAGCAGGCTCCCTGCTGAGCAGAGAGCCCAATGCGGGGCTCGATCCCAGAACGCTGGGATCATGACCTGAGCTGAAGGCAGGGGCTTAACCCACATAGCCACCCAGGCGCTCCAGGAGATAACATTTTTGAAAGGCATCGAAGAGCTGCCAGGGCAGTGGGGAACTGTTAAATCAAGGTTGGGGAGGAAAAGAGCCCCAAACAATGAGCTCAGTGTTGGGATCTCTCTTCCTCTCCCTGGAAGCCTGCTGATTCTGAGATTCTGATGGGCTGTGCCTACCTGTGATTCCCCAAACTGGCCACATTACCAGTTCTATACACTCTTCCAGAGCCTCCCCTCTCCCTTACCAAGAGATGGTAGTGAAACGGGGTGGGACTGCCCTGACCAATGGAATGTGGCAGGTATAGAGAGGCCCTGGGTGACTTCCAGAGCTAGTAACCTAGAAGGCAGTACAGCTCTGCCTGGCTCTCTTGGGATGCTGCCCTTAGAACCTGGCCACCATGTTGAGCTCTGCTGAGTTGTAGGTGTCCTGGCCAACAGTCCCAGCGAAGGTTCTAGTCAACAACCAGCTTCAGCTGCCAGACTTGTGAGCTGTCAGTCCTTCAGATGATTTTGGCCCCCAGCTGCTATCCCAAATATTGTGGAGCAAAAACAAACCACTGTTTTATCTAGCCCAGATTTTTTTTTTTTTTTAGATTTTATTTATTTATTTCACAGAGAGAGATCACAAGTAGGCAGAGAGGCAGGCAGAGAGAGAGATAGAGGAGGAAGCAGGTTCTCTGCTGAGCAGAGAGCCTGATGCGGGACTCGATCCCAGGACCCTGAGATCATGACCTGAGCCGAAGGCAGAGGCTTAACCCACTGAGCCACCCAGGCGCCCCTCTAGCCCAGATTTTTGACCCATGTAGTAAGAGGTGAGCATGACAAATGGCTGTTTTACAATGTGACGTATATCCCCTTGGAAGACATTCAAAGTTGCAAATTCAAAGTTACAAATCAGGTGGAGGAGGAAGAAGAAAAAGAAACTGCTTACCAGGCCCCGGGTCGCTCACTCTTTTCAGGCACTCATTTCAAGTCAACTCTAGAGGCATTAAGAGGGGAAAGCCAGAAACTCCAGGAGGCCTGCCCTCCCTCTGGGCATTGGTTTCCTCCTTTGTCCTCCTTCTAGAATAAGGGCGCAATAAGAGGAAAAGGAAATGCCCTCAGTGTTGGGTGGGGGCACTGAGCCATGAAGCTCACGTAACCGGAGTGCATGCTGAAGGCCAGTGATGGGGGTCCACAGGGCCAAGAAGGTACTGCTGCTGGTGGGGGATGCAGCCTCTCTTCCGGGGTAAGGTCGAGCCAGGGGCCTCCAGTCTGTAGTTCTTCCTTGGCAGAATGGAGACAATCCAACCTCCTTTTCTCTTTGCTCCAGGACGACACGGGAGTTACTTACCACTGTTAGGTGGACATGGTTTGTGAAGGTTTCTCCTCTAACCCTCCGACATGCTGGCTACATGCTCATCTGTCCTCCAACCCTTACTGTGGTGAGAATGGAGGCCTTGCCTCGGGCTCCTCTGCTCAGAGGGCCCAATTTCAGTCATCCCTCTTCTGTCACAACAATAGCTGAGCAGAAGCTCTAAGACCCCTACCAGCACAACTAGGTTTCAAATCCCAGTTTCGCCACATACTCACTGTCACCACACGTCCTCAGTCCTTGATTTCCTCTTCTGTAAAATGGGGCAATGTTACCTATCTCACTGGGCTGTCTTGCGGAGTAAATGAAATAGCAATGGTGAAGCGTTCAGCATGGTTCTTGTGTGTACATGTATAATGCTTTTCAGATTGGCTCTCGATGGGCTGCTGCTGGAGTTCTGCCCAGCTACCCAGGGCTATGAGCTTAGTTACAGGGATTTCTTCAGTAACTGTGAAGATGGGCAGTTCTCTTGCAAATATCGCTGAGGAGCACCCCTCCAGTCCCAACACAATCAAACACACGGAGTACTGCTCAAGTGTCTGGATGGTTCTGCCTTCCAGCATGCTTTTGCCTGGGTTGGACTGCGTGAGACACGCACTCTAAAATGTCCCAACTTTATTCACAATCAGACCATCGGACCCCCGGCTCCCATCCCACCCCAGCTCCTCAGCTTAGCTTGGCTCTGAAGAAGCTGGATACGCAGTGACCTTCTGCCAAGCCTAGAGCTCAGGGAGACATGCAAGATGAGCCCCTTACTTCTTCTGGGCTTGTGCCCTAGCCCGCTGAATCTTGTCAGCTGTGGCCGCGTCCGTGGCTCCAGTGCAGTGGGACAATACAAGTGTCAGCTCTGCTTCGTTCCGGTGTTCAATGGCCACATCCGCAGCCTGAGCTACATCCCTGTGGTTTGAGCAGGAGGGGGGATGCTGTCAGGTTGCCCAAAGGCACAAGCCGTGCCCCTCATCGGGCCCCCGGGCTCAGCCCCCTAGCACCCATGGGGCTCTCAGCCAACGCACCCAACAAGAAGCAAGGCCTTGACCTTCTGCTCGGGACCCACACGGGAGGCATATTTCTTGGCCTCATATTTGTTGTGTTGTTTCATGCAGATCTCGACAAAGGGCTTAGGAGAAGATGAGGAGAGGAGAAGGTAAGGCAGAGCCTTCTGGTCCTCTCTCTTACGAGCAAAAGCCCAGTGGACGCATGGTCCCCGTGTACTTCATACACCCTTCAGTGTACACAATCCCGACCCACCCCCGCCCTGACACACATGCAAAGCTGTGATCTCCACAGTCTCTGGGCAGGAACTGCCAACACACAGATCTGTTAGAGCCTTGAGACTCTATGTTTATGTCCACACGGCCACTCCACCATCCATGGCTACCCTCTCGCAACAGGAGTCCCTTGCCTTCTCAGGGCCTGTGCTTTCTCTCACCGCTGCCCTTATCCCACCTACCCGCCATACCCCTGAACCGCCTGCCACAGAAAACAACCCCTGTCAGTCTCTTCTACTGCCTCCCGGACATGCCCTCCTTCTGCCCCTCCACCCCCAACTCACACAAGACTTTCCCTTAGGCACACGGTGCTTGCTGCCAGCCTCCTGGGGGGCAAGCAGCTCATGCCCTCTCCGGCCAACACCCGTGGGCTAACTCAGACCCACTCGCCCACAGACCCGGCCCATGAGTGTGCAGACATGGGAAGCACTTGCTAACTATGTGGGAGGGCTGAACAGATGCAGGACCAAGCCATCTGCCCGGCTCTGGGCCTGATCCCCTCCCCAGGACTACTCCCACTGGGCGTGGGGTGGCCGCAGAGCCCCTGCCTCACCAGGTAGCCAATGGGCGATTTCTTGCTCTTAGAAAACTTCTCTAGCTCCTCCCAGTCTTCCAGATCTGCCAGTGCGGTCAGCTTCAGCCACCAGAGCCTGCAGGGAAGCCAGGCTCGCAGGAGTTGTGGGATACACAGGCGATCCCAGGACCTACCTACAGCCCGGGCCTCTCCTACCTCTTGTCTGGAATGCGGAAGTCACGTGCCAGCTGCTCCGCACGTTTGCTGTGGCCGCCGAGGACAAGGGTGGTGACTGTGTCGTGCAGAGACAGGTCCACGAAGTGGCCCCCCAACTCGTCTTCCAGGCGCCGCTGCAGCCGCAGGAGCCGCATTTGATCCTCCGTGGCCTGAGGTGGAGAGGAGGCCATTTGGGTCTGGATGGGGCCAACAGGGAAAGGAGAACAGACCAAGACCAGGAGCAGACGAGGTTCTCAGAAAACAGTAAGGCAAACCTTGGCTGCGAACTCATTCTTGGCCTTGTAGAAGGCATCAGCCGCTGACTGCAGAGCTGCCACTCGTCCCTCGATACGCTGCAGGGGCAAGCAGGGAAGCCTGAGCTCCTGGCACCAAGGAAATCAGCCTTCCCCATTCAGGCTACACTGCTCTCCCCGGGCCCCATGCTCAGGGTTGCCAGGGCCAGCCTTTCGCGCTGGGTGCACCGCCCTCCTCAGTATCCCTGTGGGGAGGCTAGCTCCTCTGGGACAGACCACCATCCTGGCCTCTTATCATCTCAGACTCTCCCGCAACAGTGAGGACCAGAGGGAGTGTGTACTGGACAGGAGGCCCAGATGCCTGGAGAAGGTCCCTGACCAGCAGCCCAGCCCATAGGCCCTCCCCACTCTGTGGACCTCGGACCTCCTCAGCAGCATAGCTGGCTCGGATGTGGAAACTGCCCAGCTCCTGATGGTTGTCATCCTGATTGTAAAGGTCCTTCAGTGTCTCCAGCTCCTGGTGCTTACAGAACTGGGGCCACGGACAAGCAGGCAAGTCAGCAAGGCCAGCTTGGGAGGCCAAGTCGGTGGCTCGGGAGGCTCCAGCCCCACCCTTGCCCAGGGCACACACCTGTCGGTACAAACTCAGGGCCATGGGCTGGTTCCGAAGAGTCATGAAAAAATCTCCTCGGTTTAGCTCATTCTTCAGGTGCAGCAACACCGTGAACACTAAGGAACGGTAAGGTGGTGCGGAGACTCCGGCCCAGCCCTCTGCTTAGCCCAGAGGCCCCAGCCTTGCCCTCCCTCAAACTCTGCTCACCCAGATCAGTGTCCCCACTCTCGATGGCCTTGCTCAGGGCCAGTTTGCTTCTCTTCATCTTTAGGAGAAGGGGTACCTGCTCCCCGGAGCGTGGCTCATACTCCAGCAGCTGTGGGGTGGGGAGAAAGGCACAGAGAGAAGGAGTTGGCCTGGGGGCCTCTAATACCAATGTCAGAGTATCTGGGGAGGGTTGGGCGCCCACACCTTGATGGCCAGCTCTGTGCGGCCACAGCCATAGGCCCGTGCAGCAATGTCAGAGTAAGAGACGCCTGGTGTGTCCCCCAGCTTCTGGTTAATGGCCCGAGCGACATCCTCATCAGACACATCCTTTTGTTGTACCTGCAGACAGAAGAGGGTAGTCACCCACACCTGGAGCTCATCCTTCATCCACCGCCCCAACTGGCCCTGGATCAGGACCTCCCCCTTCACCTCTACACTTCGTGTTTCCCACATGTCTCCGGGGCCTGGCATCTTCTAGTTGACTTTGAAGTCCACCCTGTGTCCTTACCTTGTAGCAGGCCCAGTGAGCCAGGATCCTGCTGACACCCTGCACTTCAGGAAGGCGCAGGTACTCACAGATCTGGATCGCCAGAGGGTAAAGCCTCCGTAACACCAGCCTGGCAGGCAAGGGGATAAAGGGTACAGGAGTGAGGTGGGATAGAAAGAGAGGGCAGAGTGGCCCCAGCCTGTAATTCAGACCTTCCAGCTCCCGAAGAAATGGGTGAGGAACAGTGTCCACAAGAACCCACCAGGGGCTAGAATGCCCGCCCACATAGAGAGCCCTCCTCCCAGAGCCCTGGGGCTTGCTATACCTATCCAGCAGCACCTGGATGGTGAGCTGTTTATATCTAGATTTTACGTGGTTAAGGATCCAAGGACTTGCAGGCAGTATGTTTAGCCCCTTCACCTCCCCTCTCCACCACGGGCTGTAAACATCCCAGAAGCTCGCTTAAGGATACTGGCTGTAAGTGAGGGGGATCCCGATGTGGTAATCCCGGATGGCATTGAGCACACGCAGGTCCTGACACATGCGCACGAAGCTGTCCGGTGGAAATCTGTCGAGGAAACACTTTCCAAAGGAGGCCGCCTGAGAAGAGCCAGAGGGTGAGAGGGGTGATCATACCTGCTGCCCTACCCTTCCCGCTAGGGCACACCCCCCACAACACGCCCAGCACCCCTCCAGCCCCATCCCCGCTGGCCAGGCCGACCCTGAGCAAACTCTTCTGCATGTCTGGCCGGTGCTCATGTCCCGCAGCCTCGATGCACTGCTGCACGGCCTGGGTCAGCTGCCCCAGCTCCTGGATCTCCCGGAGGTACTCATCTGCCTTCTGGCTCTCTTTCTGGGGCGTGGATGAAGGGCACCAGGGATGGGGTGCCATGAGCGAGAATACCCCCATTTCTGGTCCCCCCATCCCTCTGGGCTGGAGTTCAAATGGGCTGGCATGGAGGGGCTGCAGAGGCCAAAGCCCAAACTCCCTCAGCCCACAGTCCACCCAAGTTACCCATACACCCCTCGCCATATCCACCCGCAATTGCCCACTGAGGGCCTTGATGACAGCCCTGATCGGTGCCTGGGCTGGGGACAACAGGGGTTCCCTGTCCCTCCCCATCACTGCATGGAAGATACCATATCACTTCAGTCTACCTGAGCTGGCTCTCCCCAGTGTCCTGCCTGGACTCCTCTCTTGACAAGTGGCACCTGGCTGAGTTCATTGTGCCCAGGCAGGGAGGGACACAGGGCTGAGCCAGTTAGGAAGGGGAAGGAGAAGAGCATGGGCTGGGGCCCAGGGAGAGGCCTAAGGCTTTACCTCATACTCTTTCTGGGCCTCCAACAATAGTGCTCCAGGAGCCATGGAGGCAATTTTGAAGATCTCCTCGCTGGCCACTAGGGGAGGGAGGTGGTGAGTGTTGGGAGGGCAGGGAATCCTCAGCACTGGCTCAGTGCCCTGATCCTGCCCTGGGGCCCATGGTCCCCTGGGAGGGCCTCACCTGGAACCTCATGAAGGAACTCATGGGTGCTTCGAGAGAAGATGCGGACTCCATCCAGCTCAGGCACTAGGTAGGAGTCTTCATCCAGCACAAACCTGGGCTCGGTCAAGGTTCCCAAAAGTACCCAGAAATGGGGCAGGGCAGGTGAGCCTCTCTCACCTTCTTTCCCTTCCCACCCGCACAGGCAGCCCTCCAAGGATACTGGATGCTCTCAGGTGCGTCACCCACCACCATCAGCCGTCTCTCCCAGGCCACCACGACAGCCCTCTCTTTGCTGCGAGGACGGCTGCACCTGTGGGCAGCATCACATGCACATCTGGGAAACACACAGGACACGGGGCCCACAGACACGTCTCTCACCTTCCCACATCGCTGCTTATACTGCTCTGCCTTGGGACAGCCCTGCACACGCATGCCACCCCTTATCCCATGCCTCTGACTGACATCTGCTTCCCTCTCCCCCTGTGCTGTCAGCTCCCAGGAGCATCTGGGGCCCACAGGGCCACAGAGGTTTCCCTCAAATATGCACTGGCAGAGAGGATAGCTCCTCCTGGTGTGGCCAGTAGACAGGCTGAATCAAGGCGTCCCAGGATACAAGGCTGTGCCCACCCACAGCATTTTACCCCCATCCTCACCAGACCATCTGCTTCGGGGGGGCCCGGATGTTGCAGTTGAACTCGCACAGCTTCTCCTGGAAGGGTGCAAGGAACATCACGGCCCTGTCCCAGTAGTCACCAGTCTGGTTAAAAGGCCCTTCCCTTACCCTGAACAGCTCTTGCCGGGACAAGACAGGGTGCCCCCACGTTGTCCCAGGAGCACACCTTGAGTGATGCCGTCCCCATCCAGATATAGCCTGTGTCTGTGAAGAGGGCCAGGTGTCGGTAGGTGAAGGAGACTGCCATCTGCAGAAAGCTGCTCACTCCGGGCGCCAGGCCAGGGGGCGTCTGGGACAGGCCAGGGACAGCAGACATTGTCTCACTGCCTCCCCAGGCACTGCCTCCCGCACCCCTTCCATTTCCCTCTCGCTCAGGGCCCTCACCACTGCCGAGCAGGCTGCATGGTCAAGAAGGTAAAGATCAGGCCCCACAGCCAGAAGAATGTGTGCAACTCGGTCCTGGCACAGTGTGGTCCAGCATGAGGGTGCGCTCTGCAGACCTGTGGCCGGGGCAGGGGGCAACCTCAGGATAGCCAGAGCCCACGGCTTCAGCCTCTCCTGGCCCCCAGGTCTGGAGGGCACCGAACGCCTGTCTCAGGGATGTTGGGGCTCACCTGGCACCTCTGGCATCCGGCGGAGCTTGAGATCACCCACATTGGCGCTGAGGGTAAAGCGGTGGGCCCCCGTGAGGATGGCCACCCCCGAACCAAACTCAGTGTGGAAGATCCGGGCGTCTAGAACGTGGTTCTGGAGCACCTCCTAGGAAGAGGGGCTGTGGGTTGAGAAAGCCAGAGGCCCAGACTCCAGCCCTCTCCCCAGCCCCCTGCGGTCCCTACATTGCCCATGCTGAAGTGCCTCCGGAAGTCGCCGTGAAGCCCGTAAACCAGCACCACACCATCTTCCTGCACGCAGAGCAGCTCCTCCTCGGCTGACCAGCCTAGTGACACCACGGGCCCGCTCTTCCACTGCAGAGGACGGTAAAGTTCCTGAGGCTGTCCTTGGGACCCAGACCCGGCCTAGCCCCAAGCAGGGATCATGAGTGCTCACCAGCAGACTGGCCAGAGGCAGGCCGGAGGCGGAGTAGATCTCAAGCACTGGCCGGACACTGGCCGCCTTCTCCTTCCGCCACGGGTTCCTCAACAGTGCTGTAGTTCAAGAAGAGATTTTCTGTCCAGCTCCCCAGGCCCACCCCGTATGAGAACCAAAATTTAAAGCAGCTCAGCAGGGGGTGAGAAATGGGGGGGGGCGAGGGGTAGCCACATTAGCAAGGAGCACCTGCCAGCAAGGCCCCCAGGGAATCATGCACCTCGAGTTCAACCCATTGTCCCAGAACATGCAGTAGCATAGGGGTGACATACCAATGGGGCCCCCATAGGGCGCAGCAGCTACCAGGCAGTCCCTGAGTTCCTCCTTCAGGTCCCAGTCCATGCTGTACAGCTCATACTTCCTGCCCACACAGAGGCAAGCAGAAATTAGCCTCCTCATGACCTTGCGTCCAGATGGAGTGAGCCCAGAGGAACCCCTAAAACCTCCATTTGTCCTTCACAGGGCAGTCGAGGCCCCCCACAGCTGGGAGAGGGTGACGACTAGAAACAGCTCGGGCAACTGACCACATCCATGCTTAGGGACAGCAGGTGATGGAACAGAGGCAGTTGGCTGGGAAGGACGCAGTTCGTGGGGCAAGAGTCCAAGGGTGGCAGGAACTCGTGGCACGAGAGACAGGCTATGTGACCAATATCCAAGGCATAAATTCAGGTAGGACCAGGGTGGGGTGGCTACCTTGGGCCGGCATTAGCAGGAAATAAGACCCTCTAAGGTGGGGGCAGGTCTCTCAGAGCAAGCAGCCTTTCTTCTATTTCTAGTTCTTAACACCAAAGCAGGTTGTGGGATTTATATCCAGGGGTCGCCCTCAATGCCTACTGATAATGAACTCCATTTTAGAGGCACTCAGTTAGTTAGCAGTGCTTGAAACAAATCCCAGGGGCACCTGGGTGGTTCAGTGGGTTAAGCTTCTGCCTTCGGGTCATGATCCCAGAGTCCAGGGATCGAGCCCTGCATCAGGCTCTCTGCTCAGCAGGAAGCCTGCTCCCCAATGCCCCCGCTTGCCTCTCTGCCTACTTGTGCTCTTTCTGTCAAATGAATAAATAAAATCTTAAAAAGAAGGAAGGAAGGAAGGAAGGAAGGAAGGAAGGAAAGAAAGAAAGAAAGATCCCAGAGGAGCTCTTCGGTGAGTCCAGAGCTCGGGGACTGAGTCCTGGGCTGGAGATGTCAATCTCTGAATGCTCAGCTTATGGGAGGTCACAGAAATCACAAGCTGGCACGAGATGACTGGAGTCTGAAATGGGCATGGGTCGCTGAGAGTGTGTGCGACATGAAGACGGAGTAGGAGTCCTGAAGCATGCCATCATTTGAGGGCTGGAGGTGGGGACAAGCAGACAGAAAAGGAGTAGGCCCTTTCCCAGGAAGCCAAGAGAAAGCAGTATTTAAGGGGAGTGTTTCCTCCAGTATCATTTCGGGAGCCTTCCTGATAAGAATCAGAAAGATGCCTACCATTATCTTCTATTTGACATTCTTCTTGGGGTTCTAGCAAAATAATTTAAGAAAAAAACAAATAAAAAGAGGTTTATATTTTGGAAAAGGAGTGAGTTTGCTGCTAGTTGCAAATAATGTGATTGCCTACTTAGAAAATCCAAAGCAGGCTATGGACTAATGAACAAAACAAAAGGGCAATCAACAGAAGCCTACATATTTTCTATATTGATATATTTCTATATCATAACAAAAATCGACTAAAATATGACTTTAAAAGACCCTAATCATGATAGTATTAAAATGATGATATGCAAGAATAAACCTAACGAAAGTTTTTACCAGATACAATCATGGGGTGGGGTGAAGAGAGGCGAACGAGGAAACAAACCCTTAACTATACAAAACAAACTGAGGGGGCACCTGGGTGGCTCAGTGGGTTAAAGCCTCTACCTTCGGCTCAGGTCATGATCCCAGAGTCCTGGGATCGAGCCCCACATCGGGCTTTCTGCTCCGCGGGGAGCCTGCTTCCTCCTCTCTCTCTGCCTGCCTCTCTGCCTACTTGTGATCTCTGTCTGTCAAATAAATAAATAAAATCTTAAAAGAAAGAAAACAAACTGAGGGCAATGGGAGGGGAGCAGGCAAGGGTGGGGCTGGGACAGAGGAGTAGTTAAATAGGTGATGGGGATTAAGGAGGGCACTGCTGAGATGGGAACCAGGTGTTTTCTGTAAGTAATGAATCACTAAATTCTACACCTTACGCTGTATGTTAATAAACTGGAATTTAAATAAAAACTTGAAGGAGGGACATCTGGGTGGCTCAGGTCATGATCCCAAGGTCCTGGGATCAAGTCCTGAGTTGGGCTTCCTGCTCAGCTGGGAGTCTGCTTCTCCCTCTACCCCTCCCCCTGCTTGTACTCCTGCTGGTTCTCTGTCTCTGTCACTCTCTCTCAAAAATAAATAAAATCTTTTTTAAAAAACCTTAAAGAAAAATAAAGTTAAAAAAATCAAAGTTTATTCAAAGATATAAAAACACAGAGAAATAAGTAAATAAAATCTTAATAAAATCTCAATAAATAAAATCTTAATAAAATCTCAAATAAATAAATAAAATCTTTAAAAAAAAACTAAACATAAAATCCTTTAGAAAATACAGGCTAATAGTTTTTTATAATGTAAACTACGGAAAAGTCTTTCAGAGCAAGACACATTCCAAACTGATCCATGAATGCATAAAAACTCCAGTAAAAACCACTCCCAGTTGGGTGGGGGGTGGAGGAAGCACATATTGATTCTTCTTTTTTTTCTTTTTAAGTAGGCTCCACGCCCAGCATGGGCCCAGTGCAGGGCTTGAATTCCTGACGCTCAGATGGAGACCTGAGCTGAGATCAAGAGTCCGATGCTTAACTGACTGAGCCACCCAGGCGCCCCAGGACAAACAGATTCTAAAACTCACTGTAAGAAAAAACAAATATCATTTTTAAACAGAAAATGCTGAAAAGTATTTTAAAATATTTTGAAAATAAGAGAACAGATATACATCAGATATCAAATATACTACATAAAACTGAAGTTAATTAAAACTGTTGTTTTGGGACAGGGATAAGCAAATAGATTAACGGAAGAAAAGAGTCCAGAAAAAGAACTGGGAATTGAGCACGTAATAAAGATGGCATTTCAAATTGTTGCAAATTGATACTTGAAATGAGATAATGGGCCATATGGGAAGAATTGCAATAAACACTATTTCATTACTTAATCTCTACAATACAATATTTTCCAGATGGAATTCTGGATTTAAATGTTAAAAATAAATAAATAAAGCCGTATCAGAACAAATCTTGGATCTCTTCACACTCTCAAAACAGAAACAATTTCTAAGTATGATATATAACCCAGAAGTCACAGAAAAAGAACAAGTAGAGATAAAAAAGACTTCTGGGGGCGCCTGGGTGGCTCAGTAGGTTAAGCCTCTGCCTTTGGCTCAGATCATGGTCTCAAGGGTCCTGGGATCCAGCCCTGCATTGGGCTCCTTGCTCAGCGGGGAGCCTGCTTCCCCCTCTGCCTCTCTGCCTACTTGTAATCTCTATCTCTCTGTCAAATAAACAAAATCTTTTCAAAAAAAGACTTCTGTATACTTCTATATGAAAAGGGTAAAAACAATAAGTACGTTTTGTATCTGCTTCTATTTGAAAAACAAGAAATTCTGGAAAGATTTCTAAAATGCTAGTAACTGATTACTGGTAGGTGAGGAGGTGGGATCAGTTGAGTAAGGACAGGGACAGGAATGAGACTTTGAGGTTTTAAATCACATTAATGGTTATTTATTAAAATGGTGAACATTAAGGGGCGCCTGGGTGGCTCACTCGGTTAAAGCCTCTGCCTTCGGCTCAGGTCATGATCTCAGGGTCCTGGGATCAAGCCCTGCATCGGGCTCTCTGCTCAGCGGGGAGCCTGTTTCCCCCCTCTCTGTCTCTGCCTGCCTCTCTGTCTACTTGTGATCTGTCAAATTTTAAAAAAATGATGAACATTAAAAAACTTTTATACATTTAAAAAATCCATGGAAAACTAGGAAGACAGACAAAGAAAAGAAGAAAAACACGACACATGTGAAAAACAGGTACTTTTCTTAAAAATACAAAAGGCTCTAAATAATTTTTAACATTTTTTAAAAGATTTTATTTGTTTGAGAAAGAGAGACCGCACAAGTGGGGAGGTGGGCAGAGGGAGAAGAAGCAGACTCCCTGCTGAGCAGGGAGCCCAACTCCAGGCTTGATCCCAGGACCCTGGCATCATGACCCGAGGGGAAGGCAGATGCTCAATGGACTGAGACACCCAGATGCCCCAGCTCTAAGTAATTTTTAAAAATGAAACTAAAACCAAAAGAAGAATGGTCAAGGGCTATAATCATACTATTTTATGTGAAAATATTAAAGAACTAAACAGGGGTGGCTGGGTGGCTCAGCTGGTTAAGTGCCCACCTTCAGCTCAGGTCATGATCCCAGCAACCTGGAATCAAGCCCCACGTCAGGCTCCCTGCTCAGTGGGGAATCTGCTTCTCCCTTTCCCTCTGCTCATGCTCTCTCTCTCTCAGGCATTCTCTCTCAAATAAATAAATAAAATCTTAAAAAAAAAAAAACTAAACCTAAAATCCTTGAGAAAATACAGGCTAATTTTTTTTTATAATGTAAACTATGGAAAAGTCTTTCAGAGCAAGACACAAAACCCAGAAATTACCAAGGAAAAGGATGATATATTTTATTACATAAAAATTAAAATTCTGTATGTTAAAAATGAATACGTAAGAGTCAAGTGACCTACACGAGAAAATATTTGTAACATTTCTAACAAAGGGTTAATATGGAGACCGTGTAAAGAGCCCTTTACACACCCATGGAAACAACAAAATGGAAAAATAGTCGAAGATGAAGATATGAAGCCATATCTAATGACACTGTAAATATGAATTTAAAATTTTTTACATTTGACCAACCAAATGACAAAAAAATAAGGGGATAAGAGCATCCAATATCGTTGAAGATGTGGAAAAATGAACACTTTCACACATATTAGGTGGATGTATAAATTGGTTCAGCCCTTATGTAAGAAAATGAAGTGCTATTTATCCAACTCTTTTTTTTTTAGATTTTATTTATTTATTTGACCCAACAAGAAAGGGAACACAAGCAGGGAGAGTGGGAGAGGGAGAAGCAGGCTTCCCGCTGAGCAGGGGCCCTGATGCAAGGCTTGGTCTGAGCTGAAGGCAGATGCTTAACGACTGAGCCACCCAGGCACCCCATATCTATCCAACTTTTAAGTATGTAAACCCTCTGACTTAGCAAATTCCTTCTAAGAGTCTAACATAAGACAACTTGTATGACTGCACAAAGGTATGAATTCACTGTGGCACTATTTAAA